CAAACTGTTATAGCTGAACGAGGTGGTATATAGGTGTCAGTTATATCCAATTGATTGATAGTGCTGTTAAGTTCAACTGTATCTTTATTGACTTTTTGCCTGCTGGATCATTCCATTTCTGATAGAGGCATGTTAAAGACTCAGTTGTAGTTGTGCATTCTTGCTGTTTTTTCTTTTTTGTTTTTTCTTCCTCCTGTGATTGTACTCTGTTGTTAGAAACATATACATTAAAGATTGTTGTATTTTCTTGTGATATTGACTCCTTTATCATCTTGTAATACTTCCTCATTATTCCTAACAGTTTTCCTTGCTCTTGAAATTTTCTCTGCAATTAAGACAGTTACCCATAGTGCTTTATTTTGGTTAGTGTTAACATGGTATATCTTTCTCCATCCCAGTATTTTTAATTGTGTATGTTTTTATGTTAAAAATGAGCTTCTTGCTTACATACTTCGGCTTTGTTTTCTGATGTGCTGTGTACGTAGACTGTCGACATTTAAGTGATTATTTCTGCAGGTAATTATTTGCCATCTTTATTAACTGTTTTTGATTTGTTTCCCTTTTTCTTTGTAAAGATTTTATCTTCCACACTTTGTGAACTTTGAGTTTTTTAAAAGATTTATTTATTTATTTATTGGAAAGGCAGAGTTAGAGAGAGGGATTTTCCATCCATTGGTTCACTCCCCAAATGGCCACAGCATGCAGTGCTGGGCCAGATTGAAGCCAGGAGCCAAGAGCTTCTTCAGGGTCTCCCAAGTGAGTTCAGGGGCCCAAACCCTTGGGCTATCCTCAGTTGCTTTCCCAGGTGCTTTAACAGGGAGCTTACATCCAGAATGGAGCAGCTGGGACCCAAACTGGCACCCGTATGGGATGCTGGCACTGCAGATGGTGGCTTAAATGCTGTACCATAGCACTAGCCCTAGCATTTTGATTTTAATTGAGCATTTTATATGACTCCATTTTTTTTCTCATTTTTGTAGCGTATCAGTTAAACCTTTAAAAAAAAACTTGGTGTGTTTGCCTTGGGATTTGTAATATATGTTTACAATTTACCCAGGTGCTTGCTTGCTCTCTATCTCTCTTTTTTCTTTCTTTCTTTCTGATTTATTTTATTTTTATTTGAAAGAGAGGGAGAGACAGAGAGAGCAAGATCTTCATACTCTGATTCAATCTACAAATGGCTGGGGTTGGGTCAGGCCGAAGCTAGGAGCCAGGAGCTTCATCTCGGTCTCTCATGTGGGTGCAGGAATGTAAGCACTTGGGCTGTCTTCTGCTGCTTTCTCAGGCACATTAGCAGAGAGCTGGATTAGTAGTGGAGCATCGGGACTCGAACTGGTGCCCAGATGTGATGCTGGCATTGCAGGCAGTGGTTTTACCTGCTGTGCTAAAATGCTGGTACTCAGTATTTATTTTCGAATAATATTATGATGCTTGATGGGTATTACAGGTTCTTCATAGTAACAGTTTTCCTGATTGCTTGTTCCTGTCCTTTGTATCTGCTCTCTTTCAGTCTAAATACACAAAATTAGATGCATCGTTGCTGGTATTTTGAACAGATTGTTACCTAGTATCAATCTAGAAAAAGAAAAACGACAATTTCTATTTTGTCTTCATGTATTCATTCTTCAGTGTTTTCTTTATGTAAATCACAGTTTTTGACTTAAAACATTTTCTTTCTCTCTGATGGACTGCTTCAAACATTTTGCAAGGTAGATCTACTGATAGCAAATTCCTTTCATTTTTACTTAATAATGTCTTTATTTCTCCTTTATGTTTGAAGGATAGTTTCACAAGGTACACAATTTTAGGTTGGTGATATTTTTTTTCCTCTCACCATTTTCTATTGTGTGGTTTCTGAGAAGCTAGGTGAATTTGTAATCTTTGGCCCTCTATAGATAGGTAAGGTGTGCTTTGTCTCAGGCTTCATTCGAGATTTTCTTCATTTCTTTTTTATTTTAAGAAATTTATTTTTAATTTTTTTGAAAGCCCACAGCAATAGAGAAATCTTCTATCTGCTGTTTCACTCCCCAAATGCTTCAACGATTGGAGCTGGAGCAGGACAATTCCAGAAGCCCAGAATCTGGGTTTTTCACTTGGGTGACAGGGACCCTAGTTTTTGGGCCATCACCTGCAGCCTCCCAGGGTGGGCATTAGCAGGAAGCTGGAATTGAAGCAGAGCCTGAACCCAGTTAATCTGATGGAGGATATGGGCAACCCCTAATTGCTGTGCCAAACATCTGCCCCCAATTTTTTTCTTCATGTTTGGTTTTCTGAAGTTTGAATATGATATACCTAATTGTATATCTTGTTTTTGGCATCTTTATCTTGGGTTTTGTAAGTTTCATAGGCCCAGGACTCAGTGTCTGACATTAATTTGGTGGAATTGTTAGTCATTATTTAAAATACTTGTTTTGTTCTTTCCTTCTGGTGTTCTCATTATATAAAAATTAACTTTGTAGTTCTATAGTTATTGGATGTTCTGGTTTTTTTTTTCAGTCTTTTTTAAAATTAATTTTCAGTTTTGGTAAATAATTTATTGTGGTATCTGTTCTCATGCTCATTCTTTCCTCAGTTGACTCCACTCTACTAATGAACTCTTCATTTCCATTACAGTGGTTTTTAGTTCTAGCTCTTTTTTATCTTCCTTAGAAGTTTCATCTCTGCTTACATTATCCATGTTGTCTACCTTTTTCATTGAAGCATTAAGTCATTAGTTTATTAAAATTCCTAGTCTGATAATTCCCAGATTCCTGCTATATCTGTTTCTGATGCTTGCCCTACATCTTAAAACAGATTTTTTTTTTTTTTGAAAGATATACACAGTATACTGGGTAAAAGGACATGTTGTAAGCAGGGCTTTAGTAATGTAGTGGTCAGGGAACCATTCTGTACATGGGTGACTACTCTGTATTTTGGTGAGCCTGTGTCTCTGAACTGTGAACTCCAGTAGTGCTTCTCAATCCCCTACCGATTCCCTTCCCCCTTAGGTGGATATAAGGGGCTGGAGTTACATATTTCTCTTACCCCAATTGGGTTAGGCTCTGATAAATTAATTTCTCCTGAAGGCAGACCTAGTTAAGAGGATCAGAAAGCTCTGATGTATTTCAAAGTTGTTTCTTTTGCTCTCCCTCTGCTCAGGGTATTTTTCTCTGATATTTATTGTGGGGACTTGGTAGAGTTCTTAGTGGTTAAATTCAAAACATATCAGGACGTACCTATGACTGGGTCTCTGTACAGCTTTTAACTCTCAGATTTGTCCTCACTGAGTCTTCAGCAATTTTTAAATTACGGTTTAGGCTTTGCTCCCATGGCACTGGTTCCCAGGGAGGTTTTTCTTGTGGGTTTCTGCTCTGGTGAGTTGTGATTTTTTTATGTCCACCTATTAGGCCATCCATTTTGGGTTTGACCAATGGCTTCACTTCTCTGAAAGATCTAGGAAGAGTTGATAATTTTTCAGCTTGTTCAGCTTTTTATTTGTTAGGATGGAATGATGATTTCTAGTCACCTTATATTCTAGAAGGAAACTGGAAGTGACTTAAAGCAGTTTAATGGTTTTAAGTTTAAAGGAGTTGAAAGGAGATTGGTTTGTGGCAATTTGAGGCTGACTCCTTTAAGAGAATAAGTAGAGTGGAGACCAAACTAGGGGAACAGTTTTTTCAAAATAGCAAAATGATGACGTTTGATAGAATGTTTTTATCAATAATGATCATTAAACTTGGGTTTCTTTTTATTTTAGTATTATTGAAAAGTGATACTGTATTTATAATAATTGTTGACCTGTTTCATCAAAAACATTGAGAATTAAGGTAGGCATTTTATCAGAAGAAAGCAATTTTGAACAAATAGAGGGAATTACTAGCCGTTCAATAGGGGTCAGCTCTTTTATAAGCCTATTAAAACATTTCCTTAAATTGTGAGCAGTGTTGTTCAATTAAAGGAGTTAGTGTTCTTTGACCTTTATGCTGGTTAAGTGATTTGGAACGTCTGCATTTTGTGTCTGTGCTCTTGGAAATTTTGAATGCACCGTTAGCACGGGAGTCTTTAAACAACTTTTTTGTTTACTTTGCTTTTCCTAAACTTAAGTGCTCAGTGAATATTCTTTGCAGGGTGCATTTTGGAAAACATAGTAGGCAGCAAGGTTTCTGTCTACCTGGTGCTTACAGTGGAAGTACTCGTGGTCCACAGGAAGAACCCATAGTTTAGGCTTTGGAAAACCTGACTTTGTGGTTTTAATGCTTTTAGCGAATCATTATATCAGAAACATTACTTATGTTTCTCATGATTCAGTATTTCCATTTGTGAAATAATGTGTAACATCTTTCATTTTAAAATCCACAGTGATGCCAATGTTTTATAATTATCAAAAAGGGATTTAATAAAGTACTTACATGGCCGGCACCATGGCTCACTTGACTAATCCTCTACCTGCGGCGCTGGCACCCCGGGTTCTAGTCCCGGTTGGGGCACTGGGTACTAGTCCTGGTTGCTCCTCTTCCAGTCCAGCTCTCTGCTGTGGCCTGGGAGGGCAGCGGAGGATGGCCCAAGTGTTTGGGTCCCTGCACCCGCATGGGAGACTGGGAGGAATCACCCGGCTCCTGGCTTCGGATTGGCCCAGCGCCGGCTGTAACAGCCATTAGGAGAGTGAACCAACAGAAGGAAGACCTTTCTATCTGTCTGTCTCTCACTGTCTATAACTCTGTCAAATTAAAAAAAAAAAAGTACTTACATAGATGTCTTCAGAAACTTCACAGAAAATGTATATTATGAAAAAACTGCATGGATTCAGATTTCTTTGTCCTTAAACAAGCATATCTTTTACTTCTCTTTTCCATAAATATTTTCAAGTACCCTTATATATAAGGTTTGTATGTAGTTCTTTTAAATTATATATATTTAATTATATATATCACAATATTCTGATATACAGACAAGTAAATTAGCATAGCCATCATCTCACGTACTGAATGTTCATATGTGGGGGGGGGTGCTGAGAATACCTAAGTATTTCAGAATGCTTCATGAATTTGCACATATCCTTGTACAAGGGCTGTGCTAATCATCTCTATATCGTTCCCATCTTCTTGTATGTCCTTTTTTTTTAAGATTTATTTTTATTTATTTGAAAGAGTCAGAGAGAGAGAGAGAATTCTTTCATCCACTGGTTTACTCCCCAAATAGCCACAATGGCCGGAGCGGGCTAATCCAGAGCCAGGAGCTTCTTCTGGGTCTCTCACATGGGTGCAGGGGCCCAAGGACTTGAGCCATCCTCTGCTGCTTTCCCAGGCACATTAGATTGAACCTGGGTTGGAAGTGGAGCAGCCAGGACTTGAACCCGCATCCATATGAAATGCCGGTGCTGCAGACCAGGTCTTTAACCTGCTGCGCCACAGTGCTGATGCCATCTTATATGTGCTTTCAAAACTAGCATTGTGTATGGTTCCTATAGAAAAAGAGGAACATTTGACACCCACATTCTGATGGTTGGTGATAATGATATGAATTGTCACAGGAACCAGGAACCTATTTAAATGTTGAAAATTAGTGAATGGCATGTTAACATGAAATAGAGGTACCAGTGTCTAGAAGTTATGCTATGTTCTTATTATTTTTGTTATTGTTTTGACACACAATAATATGTGGCCAGGAAGAGATGACCAATAAAACAAGAATAAGTAGATATTTTAGTGTTGTTTGTTTATTACAATTGAGAGGGATAGGAGGCAACTTCCCTAGTCAGGAAGCTATCTGATTAATGCAGAAATATGATAGAAAATATTTGGATAAAATCACATCCAGTTGTTTCTTCCTTTTTTTTTTTTTTTGACAGGCAGAGTGGATAGAGAGAGAGACAGAGAGAAAGGTCTTCCTTTTGCCGTTGGTTCACCCTCCAATGGCCGCCGCGGCTGGCGCGCTGCGGCCGGCGCCTGCACTGATCCGAAGGCAGGAGCCAGGTGCTTCTCCTATATCCAGTTGTTTCTAAAATAATATCTGCAATTATAGTTGTTTTATTCTAAGGATATTAGTGATGAGTTCTAGAGTAATGCCTGTAATAATTTTAAATGGAAAAACTTTTGATATAAAGAGAAACTAACATACTCAGTTTTTTTATTACTAGAAAAGTTCAAAAGATGATGAATATGAGTAAATATTTAGATGAATACCAAATTAACAGAAAAAAGAAAAAATGTTGACAGAATCCTGATAGGCATAACAATGCACATGCCAGAGAGGCAGAAGCATGGATTATTGTCACAGCTCTGATCTCAGTGGGCATGAAGTGTTAGTCATAGAAAAACAGAACTGATGAGACAGGGCTAGGGTCTGGCTCTGTCACACATTGACTCAGCAGCTATAACTGACCACAGAGTTTTAGGTTTTTGGGCTGAGTACCTGTGAATTTGCAGGACTTACCACAGTCTTGGCCTGTACAAACATTTGGCAGTGCTGAGGGTTAAGGGAAGTTAAGACTAGATGATGTAATAGATGAGGAGGAGGCTAACAGCTGGACAGTGTACTGTTTGGGAGGTATCTAGTAGGGATATAACTTTGCCTAATAGTTTTTATACACATACTATTGTATATATACATATATACACAGTATGTATACAAGAGGACTCCAAAATGTTTGTGGAAAATGAATTATAAGACAAAAATGGAAAACATAAACCTGATTTCTCATCGTAAGCTCTGTGAAGTTTAAGACACTTTCCTAAGCGATGATACGAGGCGTCTGTTGCATCCCTAAAGAACTGAGGGTCCTTGAAATTTCATCATGTTGATACAGTCTATTTAATGTTATTAACAGAATAGCTAGTGTTTGACCTAGAGGTTAAAAGGTCTGTATCCCATATTTGAGTGCCTTTGTTTGATACCTGCTTCTAGCTACTGATTCTAGCTTCCTGATGATATAGATCCCAAAAGGCATCAGTGATCGCCCAAGTACTTGGATCTCTACCCCCACATAGGTTGAATTCCTGACTCCTGGCTTCAATCCCAGATAGGGGCTGTTGTGGGCATTTTGGGGGAGAATGTCGATGGGCTCTGTCTCTCTCTTTGCTTCTCAAACAAAAAATGAGCTAAATAATTCAGTCATTTGGTTAAAAAAATAGAAACATTATTACCCGAGGAAAAATATGTGGCCTTTAAAGTTTTTCTTTAAGAATAGGAAATGAAAAGAAGGCGCCAAGTAGGGCTGTAAAGTCGCTGTCTAATGACTTCTCATCAAAATTCTCATAGTACTGCCCTTGTTTGAGGAGTATTGTTGGAGAGAGAAGGACTTTTGATTTTCATTTCTGGCTGCTTCTGTGCTGAAGTTTTGGCTAACTTTCTCAAACCACTCTCATGATAAACAGGTGTTACTCTTTTTTGGACCCCAAAAAGTCAACAAGCAAGCTTTGAGCAGCCCTGAAACTATTGCCATTTCGTTTTCCCTGTATTGCTTTCGGTTTGACTGGACTGCTCCCTGCTCTTGGTAGCCATTGCTTTGATTGTGCTTTGTTTTCCACATTGTACTAGTAAACCAATGTTTCATCTCCTATTATATTTCTTTGAAAAAATGTTGAAAATTTCCATTGAAAATTCTGCTCTTGTCAGCAGCTGCACTGGGTATAGCAGTTTTGGTACTCATTAAGAAGAAGGTTTGTTCCACTTTAAATTATCAGCCAGATTTGTGTAAGTGGAACCATTTGAGATGACTGTGGTGTTGGCTTTTCTTTGTACTGTTAATCATCAGTCCTTTTCAGTTCCAGCACAAACAGGATTAAACTGTTTCCTGGAAGATAGATGTGGGTGGTCTTTGCTTGTGGATTTTATCTTTAACATGATCTTGTCTCCCCCACCCCTCCGACTTTTTAAGATTTATTTATTGGAAAGGCAGAGTTACAGAGAGGCAGAGAGAGACATGTGGGTGGCAGGGGCCCAAGCACTTGGGCCATTTCCAGGTGCACTAGCAAGGAGCTGGATCAGAAGTGCAGCAGTTGGCACTGAACTGGTGCCCATATGGGCTGCCAGCATCACTGGAGGCTCTTTCATTCAGTGTACCACAATGCAAGCCATTGACATTTTTAAACCTGCTCTCCTTTCGTGTTGAAAGGACTGCTTCATGAATAAAGTTTTTTCTGCATTTAGAAATATTTTTTTACTTAAGCATGCTTTTTATTGAAATATACAACAGAAAGAATAGTATCAGAAGTGTTGAACTCAATTAATTTTAACAAGTGGATGTAATCCATACTTAAGAAACTGTATGTCCTTTTGTACCTGCTTCCAGTCTAATGCCCATACCACCTCTCTCAAGATTAGACAAATCCTAACTCCCTCCCTCCCTCTCTCTTTCTCTCTCTCTCTCTCCTTGATTTAGTTATTTATTTGAAAGGCAGAGTTCAGAGAGAGGAAGTGTGGGGAGCAGCTCGGACTAGACTGTTACTGGAATTAAGACTTATTCTATGCACCTGCTCTCCCACAATATGGCGCTGAGAAGGGAAACAGCTTCTACACAGCTGCCTCCAGTTCAACCAATAAACTGTAGGACTTGCTCCTGATTGGAGGAGAGCAGCGTACTCGGAGTGTGGGCAGCCGAGTTGGGATTGGCAGAGGAGGACTATAAAGGAGGAGAGAGACGGCATGCACCAGGAACATCTAAGGGGAACATCTAAGGGGAACACCTGTGCAGCCCCCGAGAGAGCCGGCCGGCAGTGTGCCGCTCCCCTGCGGAAGTGGGGAAAGCGGCCAGGGGGAACCGCCCTTCCACGGAGGTGGAAGGGACAGTAGCCAACCCGGGAAGAACCAGCAGCAAACCCGGGGAGGGCCGAGCAGACGAAAGAACAGCGCAGGGTCCTGTGTCGTTCCTCCACGAAGCGGGGGAGCGACAAGGAAGAGAAAGATCTTCCATGCACTGCTTCATTCCCCAAACAGTGGCCAGAGCTGGGTGGATCAGGAGCTTCTTCCAGGTCTTCCACGTGGGTTCAGGGACCCAAGCACTAGAGCCATCCTCTGCTGCTTTCCTAGGTGCATTAGCAGGGAGTTGAATCAGAAATGGAGCAGCTGGTACTGGAACTGGCACCCTTTTGGAATGATGGCACTGTAGTTGGTGGCTTTGCCGGCTATGCCACAGCTCTGGCCCAAAACCCCTAACTTCTTATACCATAGATTACTCTTGACTTTTTGAATTTCATGTAAATTATACAATAATACCCTTTTGTGTTACTTCATTAACTTTGTGTGTTTATCCATGTTGTTACATGAGGTAGTATATCTCATTTTCATTGCTTGTAGTGTTAAAAGTGTCTATACCAAAGTGCACTATCCTCTCTGTTAGTGATGAATGTGACATTTAGATTGTGTCTAGTTTTGTCTGTTACAAAGATCATTACTGTAGATTCTTTTGTAGGGAATTTTGACATACATACATGAACATATGTTACATACCCAGGATAATGCTTTCTGGATCACAGGATGTTCATTTGATAAGTATAAATAATACATAGTTTTGCAAAATGTTTGGACCAGTTTACATTCTGAATAGCAGAGTTTGAGAATTCCACTTGCTCTAAAGTTCTTGCCAGCAGTTGGTGGTGTTTACTGTCTTCATTGTGGTGGTTTTGGTGTGTAGATAGTGAGATAGCCCTTGTGGTTTTAAATTGTGTTTTTCTTATGAGATGAATGATGAAGATATGTCTTTTCATGTTTATTAGCCATTTGAATAATCTGCCCCCTAAAGTGGAGTGGATATTGATGTCTTTTGCGCAGTTTTCTTTTTGTCTTCATATTGATTTCTGGGTGTTTTATATCCTGAAAGGGAGCCTTTTGATGGATTATTTCGTACAAATGCCTTCAATTTTGTATGCTGCTTGCATTTTCCAGATTTTCCACTTTTTCAGTGCCTTTTTTTTTTTTGTGAACAAAATTTTATTACAACAGTTTTTGCCTGCATGGCTGGTGCTTTTTTGGATCAGGTTTAAGGAATCTTTGCCTCCCCCAAGAATAAAAATATATTTGTGTATTTTGTTCTCTAGGAGATTTAGTGTTTTGTTTTTCACTTTTTTTTTTTTTTTTTTTAAGATTTATTTGTTATTTGAAAGACAGAGCTAGAGAGAGAAGTCTTCTA